AAAAAGATTTGGAGCGTTCATTAGAGTATCTCTGGATGTCCTTTACATTTATGAAACTTGTTCAAATATTTTGAAACAGTCTTAAAAGATATTTTCATGCCACTAGCTGGTGAGATTAACATTACTCATGTGGTAAATAAAAATAAATGAGGCAACTACCATGCCAGGAGCCAAGCTTCCCAGGCCTCGGGAGGCAGAGATAAAACTCTTTTGTCTCTGCTTCAGAACAAAGCTGCCTTGCACAGCTCCAAAGCACCTTCCAAGTGACACTCTATTTAAACGCTGCCCTCTAGCGTTGTGCAGTTGAACTTTGGAGTCTTTACGCAGAGATATTGCAGTAAAGGGGAGAGAGAAGAATAAAGTAAGATACAGAGAGGGAACAGTTCTTCCCAAATTAGAAATGTTCACAGAGAATTTAGAATCTATCATCTTCAATTGTCTGCTGCCTTTTCAGCATTTGTGGATGAAAAAAAAAGTAAGAGTACAAATTCTTTTTAAGGCAAAGAAGGCATTTTTCTCTAGCTTTAGCTAATGGGAAAAAGCTGAAAAACTTTGTCCTGTGGCTTTCACAGAGATATGCTCCCTTTGATATACTGTTTATCCAAAAGCTCTATTTTCACAATAATTCTTACTAGCTATCAGAAATAGATTGGTCTACTGGGACTTTAGGTTTCACTCAAAACTCTGTGTCCATTCCAAGTACGATTAGCAATAACTGTTGAAATGGAATGACATCCCCCCACCCGCAAGTTGTCGGGAACATAGTTCACAGGCAGGTGACAAGCACACTATCTAACATCCCTGTGGTGTGTCCTACTATATCCCTAAGGAGGAAGAAGTAGGTGAGGCTGTGTACACTTAATACTACTGGAAAAAGAACTTACTGAGAAGTTTGGTAGGTTCTTAACCATAGTGAAGGGCTTATGGTAAGGGTCACTGTAGGTATTATTTTGTTCTTCTTAAAGTGACAGGGATCAAACCCAGGGCCTTGGGCAAGCTAAGCAAGTACTCTACCACTGAGTCACATCCCCTGTCCCCATTGTCTGCACTTGTATGGCAAATGCTTCCTTAGATTTCTCACAGACCAGAGGGGCCAAGCTGCCCTGTGCAACCAATAATCTGCCTGCATGCTTAGCTTGTGGGCACAACCTCTCCCATCAGTCTGTAAAGCCAACATGCTGTCCTGAATTGGCTTCTTGTCTTTCCTGGGAACAGCAGATTCCATGGAAACATGTGAGGGTCAGATAGCTACAGCCCAAGGCTGGCTGAGAGGGATTGGATGAGGCTTGACCACCAAGCAAGAAGACCTAAAGTGAAAACGCACATTATTAGCTTCCCTACAACAGGACAGTCTACGGCTCCTTGCTGTTCTCCCAAGCCTTGCCAAGTATTTCTGCACAGCACTTAACTTCTTGCATCCCATTGCTTAAATGTGTTGCTCACGCTTTCGCCAAGGAAGCCGGCCACTCAGTAGCTCAGCGCACCACAATCGGCAGCTTGTCTTCAATTTGTTTCACTGCTTTTGTCTGAGGACTGAACTCTGAACCTGTGTGCTCAGGAGCTGCCCCACGGGAGGCGCATTCGCTCCCTCCAGCCCCTTCCTCTGGCAGCAGCCAGAGGGACCTTCACAACTGAGAGGCCAGAAATGCAAGGCTCCAGAGCCTGCAGGAGACACCGTGGTTCTGTACACTATAGGTGCACAAAGCCCAAGGGTTAGTGGCCAAAAGAAGTGGAATCACCCTGCCTATCACATGAATTTTCATTTTCTGTGAGAAACAGTGTTCACCCACCACACACATGTGCACCTGGAAAGGAAAACACAGCCTTGATTGCTGCTTATCCTGTTTATTTTAAATGGCCAGGTGTAGAGGCTCATCGTGATGTAGTCTCAGCTTGTCAAGAGATTTGCCATGCTACAGTGGACAAGCAGCCACTCGTCAATTCGCTAGCTGTTTCCCCTAAACCTTAACTTGAACCCAATGGAATTATACTTTTTGTAGGTCAGAAAAGATCGTAAATTGGCAGCTATATATTATTCATTTTAACAGAAAAGATTGATAAGATTATTATTTATGGGGTAACGTCTATACTCCAGGCCCTATGTAGAGACTTTGCCTATGTTGTCTCTAAATGTTTGTTCATAACACCACATCAAGATGCTGGTATCGAGCCAGGGATATAGCTTAGTGGCACAGTGCCTGCTTGGTACAAACTCATGAGTTTGATTACCAGTACCCAAAAAACCCAAAAAGCAAAAAACAAACAAACAAACAACAACAACAAAAAAAACGATACTGATGCACATTATATAAGATCTGAAAGGTTCTGAAAGACTCAATGGGTAAGGACAACTGAGACAGGAAGATAGTAAGTTTTGCACTATAAAATCCACGGTAAAGGTATGACCGGTTCCCTGGAACTAGGAAAGGATAACCAAGTCTCTCTGTACGTGGAAAAGATCAAGTCCCCTCATTTTTTGTTAGCCTACCCACTGACCTCTGTTATATATAACGTCACTAAAATCCCCAGTATCTTGCTGTTACTTTTTAAGCTTTAACCTTTGCTGCTTAATTTGTACACTGTTCTCCCATTCTAGGTCACACATTAGATTTTCCACTTCTGTAGTGCTTCTTGACTATGCCATACCAGTCCCTGAAATTGTTTCCCCAAGATCTTCAGAATCTTCTGCAAACATTTTCCCTATCCATTTGACTACCTTTTGGTTCATAAAAGTTTTTCTAACTATCCCAAAAGATGTGAATACTTGTTCTTTCAAAGTCCCACAGCTCGATGAAAGCCTACTCTACACTTGCCAGTGCTGGTGCTACTGGCGATATGTCTATTTAGACACTTCCTCCTCTCCTTGTCCCTCTAGAAGAGGGGTCGTGACAGAATTATTCTATTAAAGATCAAACAATAAATATTTTCAGCTTTGCTGTCAGATGGTATCTGCCACAACTACTCCATTTGGCCCTTGTATCCCGAAAGCAGCTCGAAACGATGTACAAACAAATAAGCATGAATATGTTTCCATAAAATTTTATTACCAAACCCTGGTGGCAAGCTGCATTTGGACAATGGGCCCCACTATGCCAAGCTCTGTCCTTGCTTATTGGTTCCTAAATGCTAACACTGTGTCTTCCTCAGGGCTATCTTTCTTCTGAACTGTATAGTTACACAGGCAGCACTCACGGATCCTAGTGGAACAACATGCAGTTTGAATTGTTGAAATCAGAGGTGCTTTATTCAAAGCTATTGTTTGAGGCCCTGAGAATTGTGCAGACTCCTCACACAGTTGTTTTCTATGCATGCAACAGGGCTTATGAGAACCTCTTGATCCCCGGCTGATTTTCCTCTAGCCTGAGGATCTTGCCTTGAAGCTTCAAAGGCGCCCTGACTTCTAAGGAACCATAAAACACCATATATTATCAACTCCTTTCCAAACTCAGGGAACCACCTGTAAGGCTTATGGCTGTAGACTGTTAGCTTAGGCTGGGATTCCACTAACACACAAAGGAAGGTACACAGAGTGTCTCCTGATTTAAAAAAAAAAAAAAAAAGAAAAGAAAAAAAGGAGAAAAAGTGGGGTCCAGGGTATTGAAGAAACCTGCAATACCTCTTCCTTTCACTGAGTCAGCTGTTTGCTAAATTTGTAACTGGGTTCAAACAGAGAACTGGGTGCCACGTGGCTTCATTCCTGAATTTATTTGCAGAGTTATATGCAGGGTGAGATTTTCAGAGCCTATGTTTCTACCCAGGAGTGAATTCCAAAGCACAACGGCTCAAGTAGACCAGATTTCCCAGGTGCTGGGAAAACCTCCTTTACATGGTGACCGTATTTCATGCAATAAAATACTTTTCATCTTCCAACTTTTTGGGCCTTCGCTTCACATCCATTTTCAGTTACCGTCAAAGTTCAGCTCAGACCTTCTTTCTAATCTGAATCACTTGATGTGTGAGACGTGATCTATATAATCCTGACTGGAAATAAGCTTTAATAAAATGAAAATGAGGATATAAAGAAAAAGTTCTCCAAGAATTGGCAACAAGTGCCTTCAGTGGTTAGTGACTGATGTTTTCCACTAAGGATCTAGTTTAGAAAATCACTGTGGGTACAGACAGGTGGTGATACTTAAGCACACATAGATTAAGAAGCAATCTTGGAATTTCAATGTTTTTAAAAACCCCAAAATAAATAGATATCAAGTCCCTGCCCCCTGCTTTCTGATGGTCAAGCTTTCTGCAGAAAAATGCATAGCTTTCAGGTCTATGCGGATGACTGCATGTTGATTACAGTGATTGGAAAGAAATATGTTGAGAGTCAACAAAATCATGTTCTTTCCTGTCAAGATAGCTAGACTCTTCCACCCTTGGCTGGTGAGAATTATCAGTGCACTACAGCTCTCTCCTCCCTGCTCAGTCCTTTCCCCTGTGCCTCCTGTCCCCTCCCCCACAAGACTGCTGCTTCTCCGAATGAAACACTGGGTTATTTTAAAGCCATGACCTCAGAAGGCCTCTGGGCAAGCCACTCAAGCCGCCTCTGCAGCAATTCTAATTGCACATCTGCAGCAAAGCTGCGCCAGCATTCGCCCAGAAAATAAACCCATGCTTCTAGCACCAGACCTGGGTGGTCACTGATGCTAGGAAAAGCATGCCATTTGACCATTGTTATTATAATCAGACCTGACTTGTGGATATTATTTAAGACAACAAAAGGAAATTCTAAGTAAAAACTGACTCCATTCACCCAATGTGTGCCTCTTCCTTTTCAGCCACTTATAAATGTTCCAAATGTTCCTAATCTCCCTACCCAGACAAGGCTCTGTATCACAGCCTGTTCTGTGGCCTGCGGTGAGGTTATCATCCGGTCGTGGTGGATGCTGGTGCAGCTGTCTTATGGATACGCAGTGTAAAGGAAATGGAATAAAGGTGAATATCAGGGCGGAGAGCAAAGAAAAGAGCCATATTTGGCGGGGAGCAGCGTTGATGTTATTACTCACATGTGTTGGGAAGCATTGGGGTACAATTTTGAAAACTGTGGGGCCGAGTCCTCTGGGCCGTGGGGCGCAGCGTGGCTGATCACCATCATAATGGGCCTATGGGGATACATTCTCTTAGACATTTTGAAGTAATTAATGCTCTCGTTAGTGATTAAGTCTGTGAAGTAGTCCTGAAACATACATTTGACACAAAACAAAAATTACAAAAGGTGACATTCATCAGTTCACATTTGAATAGTGCTTTCCTCAGAGGCAATTCACTGAATGAGGAGGTAAAATCTAAAGCCGGAAAGCAAATGATACCTCCCAAGGCAGCCAAACATCTTCAAGAAAAGACAAAATCAGTTGCCAGTTAATTTCTAAGGTTCCTGGCTTCCTGACATGCAAAAAAAGGTATTTATTTTAAGCAATGCACAATATAATAATTAGAGAAGAAGACAAATTATGTTTGCCCAAGACAATGACCAGACCTGGCAATACCAGTGCTAGAACATGTGAAACACCAGATACATATTTTATTCTCAGGTTTCATTGATGTAATTCATTGGCAAAACATTTAATTACTTCAAGGGCAGGAAGCACCCACACCCACTCCAAATTCGGTTGCAGAACACACACACACACACACACACACACACACACACACACACACACACACAAATGGGCGAATTCAAGAAACAATCTTTTCTTCACATTAAAAGTTCACCTGTGGGATTAACACAACATTGCTAAGCAAAGTCAAGGTCAGAATCCGGGAGCACAGAGGAAAGCTGCCCCATTTTATCAATTAATTTACTTGAAACACTTAAATATGGGGAGTGGCTGATTTCCTACAGATTGTGCTGTGTTGATCGCACAACTAAAGCGATACAGCTGCTGGGATTCGAGCCTGACTCACTAGTAAAATGACTTAACCCCGGTCAGGGAGGCTGATGCAAACTTCACAGGGGGGAGGAAGTGGAATGAAAAGGAAAGAAAACATGAAAATTTAAATTAAACCACCTGCTTCCTCTAAGTGTGTACCACTGGCCTGGAGCTCCAGGATAAACTTTATTCAGAGAGTCCCCGGTAATATTCACAATGTCAAGGAGTTCCAGCCATTACCAGTCACATGTTGTGGATTTGACCAGAGCAGCTGCAAAAGCAATGCTAGGGGGACAAAATCTGTGTCACGTGTTATTGTTAGGACAAGTCCACAGGTTGTCCCCTTCTTCCATGGGGGTGTCTGTTTAATTTCTTTCCTCATTACCAAAAAAAAAAAAAAAAAAGATACATGTTCTTTTCAGACCCAGTTGTCTTTGACACTTAATCAGCTGTGATAATGAGCAAGTTACGCTGTTTTAGTATTTGGAGAGAAGCTTGATTACTTTGCTCTCCTCAGGACAACAGGGAATGAAAGGTTAATAGCTTGAACAAGGAGCATGAAAAGCATCCCTACTGATGGAAATTGATAACAGTGACAGTTAGTGCATGTGGTACACACTGTTTTCATGCTATGATTGTATCCAAAACTGGGGTCCACAGTTGGCAGGACTGCTCTAGGCTGCTTTGTGTTCTTCTTAAAAAATTAGAAAGTTGCTCCAATTTACCTCAGAGGTCCCTGCCACTCTCAGCTTTGATGAGTGTAGAAGCCTATTTAGCAATGTCCGTGAATTCATTTGCATTCATTGTTTCCTAAAGGGCTTGAAAGAGCAGGATCTATACCTTATCTCCCTCTAAATCCCTTGTGCTTAAATCAGGCCAAGCATAAAGACAACAATGTGCCAACAACATTAAATTAAATTCCTTTTTCTGTTTCTACCAAGTTCTCTACACTGTCAGGAAGGGCTGCTAGAGAAGGTCAATTCTTGACTTCCTTTAGGTAAATGAGGAAGAGATGGAGAAGGCTGGAAGGGCAGGGGAAGGGAAGACAGTAGGTAAATTAGCAGGCTAACGTCACAAATATTTTCCCTTTACACTTATGATCTGAAAAAACTTTAAATTTAAGTGAGCACTTGCAACACCTTTGAGAGTTTGTAGGGCATTTCTGGTGTCTACTTGTTAGAGAACCGTGGGCCATGTCAATTTTAGTTTCTATGCCCTGATTTAGAAATTCTAAGACTGATAGCCTTAAAGACTTTTGTGGACTCATGCCATGGGGCAGGTGTGCTTGTCACATCACTAAGCTTGGACAGACAGGAGTAAAAACAAGAAATACGGTTTCTCAACCTTTAATTATTGCACTTGTCTGTTCATATTTATACATTTAAATCTGAAGCCAAAAAGCGAAACAGTACAAAGATGGCCATTTGATTATGTGGACAAGTCCTTAGAGAGAGAAAAACAAAAATGACTACAAGACAAAAGAGAAGGTCTACTATTTCCTTTCTCATACTTTCATCAAAGGCTGATTGCTTTTAGACTAATGAGAGAGGATCACTACACAAAGCCACCGCTCCTTTAGAATTTTTTTCTTGCTGGAGTTGAAAATTACCTTGAAATTTTTATTTTAACATTGTGAGAACATAGAAGCCAATCTTGTGGATAGTTTAACTCACTGAAAATGGCTTTCCCCCATTATGCACAAAGTAAATTGATGCAGTGTAAAAGTGCCCGAAAATTACCTTTGCATAATCAAATCCATGCTTTTCTTTGATGCCATTTCGACAAACAGTGTAATTATAGAAACGAGAATTCTTGATTAATCCAAGCCATTCTCGCCACCCAGGAGGGATGTAGCTGCCATTATATTCATTGAGGTATTTTCCAAAGAAGGCTACAATGGGGAAAAAAAGATTATTTTCTCATGTGAAATGATTAATCACAAATAAATGCATAAATACGAAATTAGGACTTGAAAAAGAGAAATGAAAGTTAATCTAGGCAACAGCAATGCCGAAATATTAGTGTAATATAGTACTTCAGTCTTTTGGCAAAGCGACATACACACATTTTCCTTTTGAATGAAGTAGCACCGAACTACATGGATTATGGTTTAATAAATCACCATAATTATTATAACACTCTGGGGAACCTCTTATGGTCCTCCTGGAATAAAACCAAAATATGTTCTTTTGTGAAGTGAATGAAACAATCAAAAGAAGTAGCCAGGGTGAGATTTGGGGTGCTACTATTTGGCAAGTAGAAAAAAACTGTAATTCAGTTTTTGTGGCAAAATAAATGTCCTAACTTACAGCTTAAGAGTTGTGAATTATAAAAACACTATTGAAAACCTCATCTTGGTTTCCACATATCCAAACAATATATGTTTTCCAAACCAGGGAATGGTGGTAAAATCTCTTTTTATAGACATGGTCAGAGTTTTCATTGTCACTTTGCATTTTTATGTCATGGCTATTTATGTTTATATATTTTATGGACATGTATGTCCACTGTTGATAATAAATTCCGGTAACAGAGTTACTACAACGATTACTCAGTTTCATAGAATGGTAGTATTATAGAAGTTTATGTGCCACAAAAACACCGCTGTTCATTGAAAAGGCCCCTGGAAGGACTTCCCATTTGTAACTTTGGTGTGTAACATCTAAGAAAGACAACTATATAACACACAGGCTGACTGGTTTCTGCTGAGAGAACAAATGTAAATGTGATCCTTCGCAAGAAATGATAATAGGGAAGGGAGGAAAGAGAAAGAAAGGGAGACTGAGACTTCAGAAACAAAATAGGTTGCAGTGGGCTGGGAACTTAGCTCAGCATCTTAAGCGTCTGCCTGGCAAGTGTGAGGTCATGAGTTTGATCCCCAGTTCCAAAAAAAAACAAAATAGGTTGCATATTGTAGTCAAATACTACAAGTACTTCCATATTGTAGTCCATATATATATATGAAGAGTGGCAAAACATGCATTAGTTGGGCCAGAGATTTAGCTCAGTGGTGTAAGTGTCTGTCTGGCAAGCACAAGGTTGTGAGTTCAATCCTTGGCACCACAAAAGCAAAAACCAAAAAAAAAAAAAAAAAAAAAAAAACCCAAACAAAAAACAAAACCAAAAAATTCATGCATTATTGGGAAACTTTTGAGAAAGAAAGAGGGTGCTATTTGTAATTCTGGTGGTTACACCAAGAAAACAGGTGTAAGAAAGCCTAATTCTAAGTAAATTTAAATGTTTAGCGAGTGTGTTTAATCAGATAACTTTATTTCATATTATGTATGTATAACGATATGTAGATACACGTGTCTGTGTGCACACAAACACACCAATGCACACATGTACTTTGTACTGTATTTCTGCACATGTAGGCAAATTCTAGATTTCTGACTTTCATAAGGCTGCAACCTTTTGGTTTGGAAGAGACCGTGTGCTACGGACAGCCAGATGCCAGCTCCTTCAGGTCCCATGAAGAAGGTTTCACAGGTACTTCCACATACGCTTGTAGCAAATGATAACAGTACTGGGAAGACTGACTTGGACGATAAAACGGATCACAGAATCAAGGCACTGTATTGGCACCGGTCTTAAAACCACATGAGCTGAATCTTTAACTTATCTAACGACAGACTTGGCAGTGTGTACTTGTGTGCTGATACTCGCTTGTCGAATCTGTGAATGAGGGAACTAGTGAAGCCAGCAGTCAGCCAGCCGAACGCCCAGTGCTTCAGGTTGGTGGCTACGAGACAAATTCCCAGAGGGTGTGTCGCCTCACATGCTCAGGATTCTCCTCTGCACAGAGGAATGCTTCTTGTCTTCAGAGGATACTCGACCTTTCCACATGGAACCACAGGCTGATTTTCCTGTTCTGACAAAACTCAACGTGACTTAGGAGTCACAGGCAGCAGACCAGGACCGCACCCTGCCAGTGGTTAGTGCTGAAGGGGGTGGTTTCCAGGAGACTGCAATTAATAACCTCGGGCCGGCTCTCTTTGGCCTTCTTCTCATCCCCCGAGGTTTATCCCACTTCTCTGTCCTCTTGTTTTCAAAGAGGTAAAAGAGCACAGTGGTTTAGAACATAAATCCCAGAGTCAGCCTTGCTTGTTCAGGGCCCGGCTCTGCCGCTTGCCAGCTCTCCACCCTTCCCCTCCTCCGTTTTCCAATGAGAACATAATAATAGTGGCAGGGCCACTGTGAGGACAAAATGAGTCAACCCCTATGTAAAGCAGTTAAAGCGGAGTCTGGCAGACACCTACCAAGGGCTTATGAACGCTGCTACTCCTGATATGATTACTAGTATCGCCATTATCATTATTCTTCCCATCTTTGCCTTCTGATTTTAAAATATTTTACCATCCGGCACCACCTGGAAATCTTGCTCTAGTTTTCATTGTGCACTTGAAAACATTGCTTGAAAAGTGAATTACTTTTTTTGCTCCCCAATTTGATTTATTTTGTGGACACAACCCCCCCCCCACATTTGCCTTACATTTTCCTGCCTAGTTTTTAAATTTTGCTTGCTACTCTTGGTGACTTTTCTGCTTAAAGTAGCCACATCAAATCATTCTGCACCTTTCTTTTGTTTTACTTTTTGGGTTATTTTGCACTATTTTCTGTCCACTGCCATGGCTATGGCCCTCTGCCCTAATCCTTTCCTTATAAATGATTCCTTCAAGCCTCCTCCTAGCCCTGGTCACAGGCTTTAGAAGTCTCTCCAGATTTTTTTTGTGTTAATGGAGTGTGAAAAGTGTGCTCAGGACTGCAGATGTGAAGCTCACTGCAGAGGGAGAGGGGCCTCTGCGTCCTGAGCGGCACCCAGCGCTGTCAGCCCCACTTACTGTGGCCTTTCTTCTTGCTTTGTGACATTGAGACTCATTTGTAATCACCCCTGGCCTCTTTGGACATTACATTTCCTGGCAGCGCTCTGCAATTGATTATCTGGGCTTCTAATTATTTTCCTCCAGATGTATTAAATCTCCTTCTCCTCCCTAAGGTGAATTTTATTTGCTTGTCCATATTGCCATTACGTCTATGCATAGGTTATGGGCAATTGGAAGGGTTTCTGTACTTCAGTTTTGACAATCCACCTCAGCTGCCACTATCTGACATGACATGTCCCTGACCTTCTATATCATCCCCTTCTTCTGGACACCACTGAACACTTCCCTTCACAGCTGTTTAAGAAGGTGGCAGGAGATTGGGTGACAGGGAGGCAGATAAGGAGGACCTGATTGTAATTGCTGTTGGCTGTGGGTCTTGCCAATTAATCCCTCCCTGGTCTACCAGTGATATAATCCTTAGAAAAATACCCTTGAACTCCCTGAAGCAAAGGCATTTATTTTTAAGTCAATAATAGCAATTCTGAAAATATCTGATGCTGCAGAGAACTCAAATCTTACTTAATATATCAGATGATGTATTAATTATAATTTTACTCCATGTAATTGATAGATCTGGGTGACAGAATTCCACAGTAGTAACTACAAATATACATACTCTTAACCAAGTTAAAATTATTGTTAGTTTTCTACATGAATTTGGTTTCCTTAATGGTGTTGTTGTAAGTCTTATAAAGACCAGGAGCTTACTTTATTATGCCCTGGTATCGAGCACAGTTCTAAACACATTATGGTTTAACACATTTGTGGTGTAGTTCATGGATATGTACCTATCAAAAATCTCTAATACATAATCCATAAAAATAAGAGTATTGTTTTATTTTAAATGAATTCTACAATTCAATAAATTCCATACTAAAGAATAAATAAATATGCTTGCTATAACTAATGTAAGTATACTTTATAATGTCCAAAGAGATGAAATTAGAAAATAGATTAAGTTGATTTGTTATGAAAAAATTATTAGCAAAAGATTCCTTGCAAAGCTAGACAGAATGGCACATGTCTGAGGTCCTTCTAAGGTCCCAGATAATTGAGAGGCCGATGGAAGAAGATTGCTTGAGCATGGGGCTCAGGACTAGCCTGGGCAACACAGCGATGCTCTGTCTCAAAAAAAATCAAAATCAAGATTTATTGCAGATTGCTATTAAATATTGCTCCTTCCATTCATGATATAGAGAGTTAGTGTGACTAAAATTTAATTCCTGTGATTAAATGTCGTATGTGTACTCTGTATAGTAATTGTAACTTGGAGACTATAATTTTTAACTACATCAATATAGTAATTCCACTGAGTATAATAAAGTTGCAATATAATTTTGCACAGGAAAAGAAAACTTAGGAATTGTTCTGGGTCAGTCTTTGCATTGTGTAGGTTGAAAAACTGGCCTAAATCCATAAACAAATGAGGGGTGCTGCGGGCTGTGACCCTAACTCCTTTAAACCTCTCCTTGGTGTTTTTTTCACTTCATGCTGCCTCAAATGTGGATGGTCTTTTCTCCCTTAAAGTTCCATGCTGTTTTATGTCTATACCCTCATAAGAAACCCTCATAATATGATTTTTTAGCATATTCAAGTAGAACACTCATTTTCATGATAATCCAATATCATTCCCATTTCACTTGTCAGAACAGAGTGCACCAGACACATTATTGTTTTTTCTTCCTTGAATGTTTAAGCTGTTGTAGACTCATATTTTCCATGAGTAAAATTAGAAAAATTCAGACTACAACCAGCCCCAAAAAATGTCTAAGTAGTGAAAAAGAAAAATCATGTCACGCAATGGTAAATATTGGACCAATTCAATTCATTTAAATCTATATATTCCGCATGCGTCCCAAAATAAGCCTCTCAGAAATCCATCTCCTGCAAGCTGTTCTCCATAAAACTTACTGCTGCTTTGTGCTTTTGTCTGGGTGGATATTTATGTGCATATTTCAGTTTTCTTCACTATTTTTCTTAGGTTTGCACCTGAACATTCCAAATAATAGATTGACTATTAGGAAAGCAGTATGACATTTATGCTTTGTTACTTTCCCTTGCTGGTTCAGTGCCTCATAGATAATAATGCTCCTTAATATCCACTCATCCATCCTTATAATTTCCTAACCTGCCTGCATCAGTCATCATCACAGGGAGCAAATATGGAACACACACACCTGAAAGGAGAGCTTTAAGTTGCCTCACGGTTTCAGAGGGTTCAGTGCATGGCCAGCTGGCTCCAGGGCAGGAACATCAGGGTGGAAGGGTTTTGTCCATGTTGGTAGTGAAGTGAGCACAGAGGAAGCGCCCCAGTGACAGGTACAACCGCCAAAGGCATGTCCCCAGTGATCCACCTTCCATGGTGCCCTGCTTCCTGAGAGCACTCACCTGTGAGCATGGCGGATAAATCCCACACCATGACCCAGTTGCCTCTTTAAGGGTATCTTAATCCAGTTAAGCTGACAATTAAGGTTTGCTGACACAGTGCCTATCATTCTTGTGTTTATTTGTGATTTTTAACATGGGTCACTGTCCACAGTGTCAAGAAAAAATTTTACTTCCTCATTGTCTGAAACACTTCAGTGTTTTTTCCTCAAATACAAATTTGAATTCTACAGGTCCCTATCACTGTCTTTCAACTTTAAACCTACTGAGAGTCTCAGTCCTTGGGAAAACCTGCCTTAGTGCTCAGGAGCAAATCTGCATTCCCTGGCAGCAACAACCAGGGAAAGGAGGCTTCCTGGGCTTGAGGCTGCCATCAGGAAGCCTTCTGGTGCGTTTCATCCTGGCCTCATTCTGCAGTCAAGGCAGCGTACTGCAGAGGCTGGAGACCTAGGTCTTCATGCAGGCTCCTCCCGTGGTAATGTCAGTGGCACTTGAGCAAGTCACTGTAACTGTGTGTTTTACTTTTGTTCCTTAAAAATAAGGGAACCCCATCATGGTGTTCATACAGAATAGCAGGACTGAAACCTGTCACAGTGCACTTCTTAGCACAACTGATTTGTGTTTATCCTGACTTTGCAACATATAATGGCTTTTTAGGGTCTTTTTTTTTTTTGTCACTAAGAAGCTTGTTTCTAAATTTGCAGCTCCTTTCCCTACAATTCCATGGCATGTAGTTTGTACCCCATTATTTGCCTCAACTTTAACTAGTTAAACCTTTGTTTCTGCCAAATCCTTATTGTTTTGTATGCTGTAAAATTTTCTGGTTTTGATAAAGGATTTTGGAAAAAGGCAGGAGAGAATAATAGGGGAAAAAACACAGAAGTATTAGGTTTATTCTATCATTGACAGGCTGGTGGCATCAGACACTGAGCCTTTCTGACTTACGGTTTATTCATTAACATGGGTGAATTTTTTTTTTTTTTTTTTGGCAAGGTTGCAGAAGAGCTGTGTGACCCAAGGTGTTACATGGTGACACATGCCTGTGATCCCAGCACTCTTGGAGGTTGAAGCAAGAGGACTGCAAGTTTGAGTCCCACCTGGGTAATTTAGCAACTTAGAAAGACCCTGTCTCAAAATTAAAAAAATAAAAAAAAGCTGGAGATGTAGCAGTATGTGAAGATCCTGGGTTCAATTCCCACTTTTTTGCTTAGTTTTGGTTTTTGATCTTTTTGAGACAGGGTTTGGCTATGCAGTTCATGCTGGCCTTGAGCTCAACTTTGTAGCCCAGGCTGATCTCAAACTCTCAGAGATTCTCCTGTCTCAGCCTCCCAAGTGCTGGAATTACAGGCATGTGCCACCAAGTCTGGCTTGTTTTTCTTTTGCTTGTTTGTTTGTCTGTATGTTTTTGTCTTTTTGAGAGATTCCCAGTACTGTACAAACCAAACCAACCCTAAGTGAGATAACTTCAAAAATGCTTAAAACCAGAGTACATAAAACCAGAATAATTTCCTCCTTTCTCACCTTTCCCTGAGCTAGCTGAAACAACTTGGCATACCCTATTTGACTGAGTCCCTGGCAGGAGCCTGCCCCTCCCTGCACCTGTCTTTCTTATGACAAACACTGTCCATGTCACACTGGTAGTGTGAGAGGCCTAGCCCTTCCAGTTCTTGGTCTGCTCCAGAGATTACCTTTTAGGGAGCCTGGGAATTTGGGAGGCACTGTTTCCACACACATTTCCTACAAGCACACACTTCAGTGGTTAAAGTCGGGAACCAGGTCTTGGAGGGGCCACTTCTGCTTCTGTCCTGAGCTGGCTACCCAGTAGTTGAAACCCACTCTTCAGTTCTAAAACACAGCCAAGCCATTTGCTGTCTACGAACCCTACAGGGATGTTTGATGGATTTGCAAATTGCTTTAGCACTGGCGGATGAAAGGTGCTGTAAATTTAGCTCACTAATGTGAGAAAGCACACTGTGGCTCTCCCTAACCTGCCTGTAACCTAATTTCTCTCTTAAGCAGAAGCAAACACCCTTGAGATCACAGCAGGAGCTACTTCTGTGAGCAGAGATCTTGAGACCCTGTGAGTGGCGCTGCTATCATATGCACAATCAATATTTTCATCCATAAATAACAAATATTAAGTGCCCATAGAGCACTCTGCAAAACATAAAGTGGTCATATATTTCCTGGGTCCAGAGGGAAAGATTAATTTAATCTTTAAAATGGATTTAAGAGAATATTTTTTGAAATTCTTTACTTTTAAACCCTCAGAATAGGGAATCGGTAGGCCTGAAAATCATTTCCAATAAGTTTTTAAAATGACATCTTTAATTTTTATGAGTTAGTCTAGGTGGTTCTGGGGAGGCAAAAAAGCACCGGAAACTATTTTTGCAGTGCATCCTCTCCATCTGATTATTTCCTTTCCAGGAAACACTCTGAAAACCCCTGGACAGCCGCCAGCACTGGAGGAATGAGAGCTAGGAGGGTATCACTCAAATCCTGCACCTCTTTTGAACTGAGATTGGCTCAATGTTCACAAGCCCTCTTGGAAGAGGTCCTCGGTTTTCAAGATACCTACTAACCAAAGACATCATCTTTCCCTGTGCAGATTAAACATGAATACCAGGTTTAGCCACTGGGATGCTTTCTTTTCCTAGACAGTGGAGGTGAACATTTGAGACCTAAACATCATGACTCAAACAAAAGCAGCTCTCCAAGTCCTATCAATTATGTATAAATATATACAAATGAATTAATAAGATGAACATCACTGGTTTATTCCCTTTTTCATTCAGTTTTTATTATTGTTGTTGTCTTTTTTTGACAGGTCTCACTGTAGTTCAGGCTGGCCTTGAGCTCAAGGCTGATCTTGAACTTGCAATGATCCTCCTGCCTCAGCCTCTTGAGTGCTGAGATCACAGGCATGTGCCACCACAGCCAACTCCCTTAGTTATTCATTCAAACAGTAGTAAGTAATTTTTATCCTCTACTGTGCTCCAGACCCTGGGATAGGTGCTATACAGTTTGAAAACTGAGTAATTCCTCATTTGAAACAATCAGCAGGAATTTACCAACATCTGAGTGGAGCCTTAAGGTGTGCCATAATATCTTGGGACTTGAGAAGAACAGGTAAGGAAGCAAATGGAACAAAAACTGTTTATTTTGGGGTTATCCTGGAAAATTCCAACCATGGAGTGCCCTCCTGGGGCCGCTGAGAATCCTGACTTTTCTAAGGGTTCTGTCATTGGTACAGCTTTTGGAATAAAATGTAAGTGCTGCGGCTCGAATGTAGTTTGTTTCATGACTGTTACTGTGGCGGGGTGGGAGGCAGGCTTTAAGTGATTCATCTTTGTACTGTCTCATCTGCAGGGACTTGCTTGCTTTTCCACTATTTGCCAGACTATGACACAGTACCAAAGCCCTTCTGAGAAGCCACCTCCACACTCTTGGGCTTCCTACCTTGCAAAATTGTGAGCTAAGTAAACTCTTCTTCTTTGTAAATTAGCTCATCTCGGGAATTCCTATAGATGTAGATAACAGATCAGGATACAGACAAGATAGAGAAGGTTCTGATAGAGAAGCCAGGCCACTTTGGTCTAGAGGCTTAGTGTACCCCCTCTGCCTGTGGCAAACACCAAGGTTTCACGGTTCATAGATATATTGTGTTTTACCTGTTCTGTAGCCAGTGTTGTTAAGATATACAGCAAAGGTCCGAGGTTCATGTACTGCTTGCCATGAGGGTGAAGAGCAGTTCTCGTTGTTGGTGTAGACGTTGTGGTTGTGCACATACTTTCCGGTGAGCATGGATGACCGGGACGGGCAGCACATGGGTGTGGTCACAAAGGCGTTGGTGAAAGTGGCCCCTCCATGTTCCATGATCTTCCTTGTTTTGTTCATAACTTGCAGGGACCCTGAAAGGCATGATTCCAGCACTGTTTAGCAAAGTGCACCATGCGAACATCCATTTGTATCCTGTCACTCAGTGTCTCTGTTTGCCTAATTTATTAATTTTTCTCCCTTGACTTGAAGGAGTGCATAATTTGATGAGCTCTCATTTCCAGAACAAAATGAAACAATTGGGATTCTACCCTCTCAAGTATTTTGTGGAATAATGAACACATTTGAGCTTCTCCTATCCTTAATCACAAAGAAAAAAAAGAAGTAGACTAATCTGATAATTAAAGTTAGAATTTTAGATATGGAGCAGATTCAAAGCCCAAGAGCCCTTTGAAGATTACAGAGCACAATAGCCTGTTACATGGAGAAACAAAACCCTCAGCCCACCACACAGGAGAATGCTAGTTACACTGCAGAGATTATTAGATACTACATAATCATATAAAAGAAGGAGGAAATCCCTATTAGATAAGTTTCTTCTCCAAAAGTTCCTGTATTTAATTTTTTAAAAAATCCTCTAGCAAGCAAATCAAACATCTGCTGATTTTTCTATCAGGTCAGAACCACCAGGTTATATTTTCAGCGATTTACAGTAATTTTGAAAGATAGGTAGATTGCTTGTGAATCACTTATGATTCTACTGCACTCAAAATATTTGCACCATTGTAAAATATTCCATTTTAACTATAAGGATGAAAAGGTAACGTAAGATTGCTAAGGAAGGAAAAAAGTCTATTTCGATTACTCTCTCTAGCCAAACAGTGCAGCTGAAACACATCCAAACCCTGCAGAAAAGCACAGGCCAGAATTCAATAGTCTTTTCAGGACTTGTCAAGAAATGCACTACAGAGTGCTCCAGCCAAGCCCATTGCATTTGAATCCTGGAGCCTCAGATTTCCAACAGGTCTCAGTCTTTCCAAATAAAGGGAGAAAGTCTATGTTTTCCAGCAAGGAAGGAAATCGTAATGCAAACCAGGCAGGCATTCAGAGTAGAAGAGGAGCGTGCAACAATCCAAAAAGCCACAGCTAAGCCAATTTCTTCATACATTAACTTTTTCCATTTGTGGATGCATGTGAGACCAGGAGGAAGGTTTCTAAGTGGGTCTCTTGAGAACTCTCTAAATATGCTCTCAAGGTGTATGCCTAGCAGCTCTTTCTCTCTGTTCTTTAGTTATAAACTCCCTAGACAACAACAACCTACATACAGAAATTGCTTGGGAATATTTGCAAAACCAAATACCTGTAACAACTATGTACATAGCAATACGTCTAAGGATAAAGGGGACTTGTGAGTGCTTAGAGTTCTGTAATGAGAAACAAGGACCAATGGAAGGAAAGAAGGAAGAAAATTCAGATAGGTGGAGTGCATTATTGGGGATCGGGGAGGACTGCATGGATGATGTGGAAGTGGGAAAAACCAAGTAGTCAGGACAATGGCACCTTGATCTCCGGGCATGAAAAGAAAGAAAGAGAATCCACTTGGTGGAATGAAGAGTAGGCACATAGCACAGATACTGGGCAGAGACAGTTGGATTTAGTAAGAGACAAAATGAAGGGAGGGTGGTTTCTGTCCTAATGACATGAGCAGCGGAAGACAAGCCATTGAGAGGTACTGTGTAGTGAGACACATGAACTGAGAGGCAGGCACATGGCTAGTCCACTAAGGGTACAGCCAAGAAGTTGCTGAAGCCATCCAGCCTTGGCATGAGAAGAATCTGGACCACACTATGACCCTGTCTAAGATTCTCAGAAGCAGATCCAAGCGATGTTGTCATTCATCAGAGGGCTGTGGGTTGACTAACACCTTGAAGTTTTCAGCACAGGAAGAAAGCTGGAAAACGAATTGTTTCAGTGGTGGTGAAGTAACTAAAAAAGAATATGCCCAGCAGAAGATCAAAGACGTCTATTTCAGAAGTGTTGCATTTTTTATTTGTGTTGGTTATCATACAGGGGAAGCACCCTGGACACAGATCAGTGTGGAAGTGGGGGTGAAGGTGATGACTAGTCTCTCTCTAGTCCTTACTCTCTGCAGTGTCTTGAATTTTAGGAAAAAAGCAAACACCTTTGATGGTGTTTCATTGTGAAGTAATCTATTTAAAAGAATGAGCTCTCTGACTTTCCTTTATGAGCTTTGGCTGAATTCAAATTAAAAAAGGAATGCAGCTCGAGCCATCAGCCCAGGTCTTGAATCACATCGCTGCAACCTCTGGCTCACACCCATTTGGATGGCAATTGTGGGGTGGAGGTGGAAATCAGATTGAAAGTCAAAAACCATATAAAAACTAGGGCTTACATTTAGCCCAATTCATGTTGCTGAAATTGCCCCAGCTAGGACTCTCCAATCATTCTGAGTGTTGTACTTTTTCTAATTAAACAAACTCATTGACTGGAAGTCCTACACAATTTCTTCATGAAAGGCCCTGATTCCAGCCAGTCCACATGCCACCACAAATGAGAAAGACACACCATGCCCACGGGCAGCAGTGATGGTGTAACCCTACCACTGAAGTTCCTGAAAACAGGTCAGACTTAGTTTCTCAGGAAAAAGAAGATTCTAAGGCAATGCTTGTCCAACCATAAGAAGCTTCTGAAAAATCATACTAAGCCACAGAAGCTCAGATCCACCTTGAGACGCTGCTCAAGTAGTCTGGGATGGGCCCAAGTGTTTGCACTTCTCACAAGTATCCAAGTGACCCTCATGCTGTCTGTTGGTGGACCACACTTGGAGAGTCATTTGAGGTTGGGCCCAGAATCAAGGAATATAGAGTTGGAAGAGACTGGTGAGTACCTTGCTCAGAAAATCTAAGCAGTTCAGACCATGGCTGAGGTTGTAAGATATATAGCAGTCAGGACTCAGTCTCTTCCAGGTTCTCTTCTGATGTGTTCCACTCATTTAGTTCTAACATAACCCTTTGTGATGGGGCTAGGTGTGATGACTCCTGGATTTCAGAGGACACACAGGGTGAATCCTGTGAGCAGAGTTCAGAAGCACATGGAGGCAGCCTGCCCCAGAGGCCACACTCTCAGGCTGAGTATTGGCTGTGACGCTGATGTTTGCAAGACTGAAACCGATGTGAGTCTGCTGGCTGTCAGGGTAGGCCTCACTTTCTGTAGTCTCATCTCTCGCTTCATCTGGAGTATTAGGGGAGGTGTCGACAGACACAAACAGACACAAATGCCTGTCCAGGCCTGAAAGGATCTCGGTACCTCAGGCCCAGGGGCGGTTGCTCTGTCTTTAGCAGCTGCTGTCATGCTGGTGTTAATCACAGCCTCTCATCTTGGTGGAGTCTAGGTGGACCCAGAGGATGCAGCATAGGAACCTGCATCTCTTCCCGCTGCTGAGCCAGTGTAAGGAAAGCACCTTCAGCTCTTCTGTGCTGCATACTGATTATTGTTAGTAACACTGCTCTGCATTCAGTTTACTGCTGTCACGATGGTACCATTGGGTTTTCATTGGCAGGTTGTACTGAAAGCTATTTTGCAATCTAATTCATAATTAGGCATTCACAGCTGTTGAAAGCAGTGGAAAGGACAGTGTCCCATCTTATCAGTGGAAAGCTGGGTTTTGAACAGCAGCTCTTTTCTCCAAGTTTTAGGTGCTGAGTGCCTAAAATGCAAAAAGTGCTGGTTCTTCATTGTTAGAGCGATCGCTTTGTGGGGATGATAGGAAGGATGCAGCCTAACCCTCATACCAAGGTTCATGTTCATACCAAGGACAAGATTGAGAAGAGGGCCCTGAACTTGCACTTAGGGGAAATAATCAAATTTTGCCACAATTGGCTTGAGCAGGTGACTTACTGAAAAGTTTGATGAAAAGTTTGCACTTTTCATCTATAAATTAGGGCTATGACAGCTCTCCTGCCTCATTCATAAGGTTGCTGAGGAGCTGCTAGTAGGGGGCTTCTTTCAAGACTAGCTGTGGCTAGAATGTGGCTGTACATTCAGCCTTCATTGTGTCTGCACTGAACATGTGCAGACTGTTTTTCTCGGCATTATTCCCTAAACAATATGGTGTGACTATTTACATGGCATGTACAGCGTTGGGTATTATAAGTAATCTAGAGGTGGCTTGAAGTGCACGGAAGAATGGGTATGGGATATGTACAAATGCTGTATCATTTGGCAGAAAGGACCTGAACATTGTGTTTGGTAACCTCGGGAGCCCCAGAACCAATAATCTCCTGCAGACACCGAGAGATGCTACAGTTTTCCTTGGTGATCACCTCAACTCCACCATACCCTCCCACCTTTCTCATCTACTTCTTTGAAATCCACAGATAAATTCCAAAAGCTGGGTTAAGAGGAGCTATACCAATGCATTTTCTGTGTCTTACGATGTTGATGTCAGGTAACAATCATTCCTCCCGTCTACTCACTCTCTCCCTGAACCTCTTAGCAAAATCCCAACTTCATGAGTGTTTTAAGTGTCCTGCAAGGCGGAGCTGATGGGGATACAAGGAAACCACTGAGGGTAGGCCTGAGTAGCTGGCATTGGGAGACTGCTTACTGAGCTGGCTTGGTGACAGGGAAGGTGCAGGCCACAGCTGAGCCCCAGGACTGCCAAGAAATGTTGTCCAAGAGCCCGAGTTCCAGGTGGGGACTGGTGACATCTGCCACTGCTCCTGCGGGGGTGGTGGGGTGGTGGTGGTGGGGCTGTGACAGCTATCAGCTGTGCACTCGGATGCCCGTGAGGTCTGCATTGGCTGAAGTGGAGAAGCAGAGCCTTTGGGAATCTAGTAAGTTCCCTATGCTTGAAATTTCAGTTAAGTTTTTGTAAATAAGCAGGGTAAAAGCAGTTAAAGCTGAGGGGTGAGGAATGGGGAATAAAGAAGCAAGGTATATCATATACAGGTACAAATTCTCTACGATGAGAATTAGGTAGATCTAAAATATATCAATAAAATAAAAAATGCAATTAAAAAGAAAATTTTAGTTGAATTGGAATTCAAGGCTCCAGACAGGGTTTGGGATGGTGTATGTGACAGGGTGAGACTGTCATGGGTTTTCAGTCACT